GGCTTAGGCTTAGGCTTAGGCTTAGGCTTAGGCTTAGGCTTAGGCTTAGGCTTAGGCTTAGGCTTAGGCTTAGGCTTAGGCTTAGGCTTAGGCTTAGGCTTAGGCTTAGGCTTAGGCTTAGGCTTAGGCTTAGGCTTAGGCTTAGGCTTAGGCTTAGGCTTAGGCTTAGGCTTAGGCTTAGGCTTAGGCTTAGGCTTAGGCTTAGGCTTAGGCTTAGGCTTAGGCTTAGGCTTAGGCTTAGGCTTAGGCTTAGGCTTAGGCTTAGGCTTAGGCTTAGGCTTAGGCTTAGGCTTAGGCTTAGGCTTAGGCTTAGGCTTAGGCTTAGGCTTAGGCTTAGGCTTAGGCTTAGGCTTAGGCTTAGGCTTAGGCTTAGGCTTAGGCTTAGGCTTAGGCTTAGGCTTAGGCTTAGGCTTAGGCTTAGGCTTAGGCTTAGGCTTAGGCTTAGGCTTAGGCTTAGGCTTAGGCTTAGGCTTAGGCTTAGGCTTAGGCTTAGGCTTAGGCTTAGGCTTAGGCTTAGGCTTAGGCTTAGGCTTAGGCTTAGGCTTAGGCTTAGGCTTAGGCTTAGGCTTAGGCTTAGGCTTAGGCTTAGGCTTAGGCTTAGGCTTAGGCTTAGGCTTAGGCTTAGGCTTAGGCTTAGGCTTAGGCTTAGGCTTAGGCTTAGGCTTAGGCTTAGGCTTAGGCTTAGGCTTAGGCTTAGGCTTAGGCTTAGGCTTAGGCTTAGGCTTAGGCTTAGGCTTAGGCTTAGGCTTAGGCTTAGGCTTAGGCTTAGGCTTAGGCTTAGGCTTAGGCTTAGGCTTAGGCTTAGGCTTAGGCTTAGGCTTAGGCTTAGGCTTAGGCTTAGGCTTAGGCTTAGGCTTAGGCTTAGGCTTAGGCTTAGGCTTAGGCTTAGGCTTAGGCTTAGGCTTAGGCTTAGGCTTAGGCTTAGGCTTAGGCTTAGGCTTAGGCTTAGGCTTAGGCTTAGGCTTAGGCTTAGGCTTAGGCTTAGGCTTAGGCTTAGGCTTAGGCTTAGGCTTAGGCTTAGGCTTAGGCTTAGGCTTAGGCTTAGGCTTAGGCTTAGGCTTAGGCTTAGGCTTAGGCTTAGGCTTAGGCTTAGGCTTAGGCTTAGGCTTAGGCTTAGGCTTAGGCTTAGGCTTAGGCTTAGGCTTAGGCTTAGGCTTAGGCTTAGGCTTAGGCTTAGGCTTAGGCTTAGGCTTAGGCTTAGGCTTAGGCTTAGGCTTAGGCTTAGGCTTAGGCTTAGGCTTAGGCTTAGGCTTAGGCTTAGGCTTAGGCTTAGGCTTAGGCTTAGGCTTAGGCTTAGGCTTAGGCTTAGGCTTAGGCTTAGGCTTAGGCTTAGGCTTAGGCTTAGGCTTAGGCTTAGGCTTAGGCTTAGGCTTAGGCTTAGGCTTAGGCTTAGGCTTAGGCTTAGGCTTAGGCTTGAGGCTTAGGCTTAGGCTTAGGCTTAGGCTTAGGCTTAGGCTTAGGCTTAGGCTTAGGCTTAGGCTTAGGCTTAGGCTTAGGCTTAGGCTTAGGCTTAGGCTTAGGCTTAGGCTTAGGCTTAGGCTTAGGCTTAGGCTTAGGCTTAGGCTTAGGCTTAGGCTTAGGCTTAGGCTTAGGCTTAGGCTTAGGCTTAGGCTTAGGCTTAGGCTTAGGCTTAGGCTTAGGCTTAGGCTTAGGCTTGAGGCTTAGGCTTAGGCTTAGGCTTAGGCTTAGGCTTAGGCTTAGGCTTAGGCTTAGGCTTAGGCTTAGGCTTAGGCTTAGGCTTAGGCTTAGGCTTAGGCTTAGGCTTAGGCTTAGGCTTAGGCTTAGGCTTAGGCTTAGGCTTAGGCTTAGGCTTAGGCTTAGGCTTAGGCTTAGGCTTAGGCTTAGGCTTAGGCTTAGGCTTAGGCTTAGGCTTAGGCTTAGGCTTAGGCTTAGGCTTAGGCTTAGGCTTAGGCTTAGGCTTAGGCTTAGGCTTAGGCTTAGGCTTAGGCTTAGGCTTAGGCTTAGGCTTAGGCTTAGGCTTAGGCTTAGGCTTAGGCTTAGGCTTAGGCTTAGGCTTAGGCTTAGGCTTAGGCTTAGGCTTAGGCTTAGGCTTAGGCTTAGGCTTAGGCTTAGGCTTGGGCTTAGGCTTAGGCTTAGGCTTAGGCTTAGGCTTAGGCTTAGGCTTAGGCTTAGGCTTAGGCTTAGGCTTAGGCTTAGGCTTAGGCTTAGGCTTAGGCTTAGGCTTAGGCTTAGGCTTAGGCTTAGGCTTAGGCTTAGGCTTAGGCTTAGGCTTAGGCTTAGGCTTAGGCTTAGGCTTAGGCTTAGGCTTAGGCTTAGGCTTAGGCTTAGGCTTAGGCTTAGGCTTAGGCTTAGGCTTAGGCTTAGGCTTAGGCTTAGGCTTAGGCTTAGGCTTAGGCTTAGGCTTAGGCTTAGGCTTAGGCTTAGGCTTAGGCTTAGGCTTAGGCTTAGGCTTAGGCTTAGGCTTAGGCTTAGGCTTAGGCTTAGGCTTAGGCTTAGGCTTAGGCTTAGGCTTAGGCTTAGGCTTAGGCTTAGGCTTAGGCTTAGGCTTAGGCTTAGGCTTAGGCTTAGGCTTAGGCTTAGGCTTAGGCTTAGGCTTAGGCTTAGGCTTAGGCTTAGGCTTAGGCTTAGGCTTAGGCTTAGGCTTAGGCTTAGGCTTAGGCTTAGGCTTAGGCTTAGGCTTAGGCTTAGGCTTAGGCTTAGGCTTAGGCTTAGGCTTAGGCTTAGGCTTAGGCTTAGGCTTAGGCTTAGGCTTAGGCTTAGGCTTAGGCTTAGGCTTAGGCTTAGGCTTAGGCTTAGGCTTAGGCTTAGGCTTAGGCTTAGGCTTAGGCTTAGGCTTAGGCTTAGGCTTAGGCTTAGGCTTAGGCTTAGGCTTAGGCTTAGGCTTAGGCTTAGGCTTAGGCTTAGGCTTAGGCTTAGGCTTAGGCTTAGGCTTAGGCTTAGGCTTAGGCTTAGGCTTAGGCTTAGGCTTAGGCTTAGGCTTAGGCTTAGGCTTAGGCTTAGGCTTAGGCTTAGGCTTAGGCTTAGGCTTAGGCTTAGGCTTAGGCTTAGGCTTAGGCTTAGGCTTAGGCTTAGGCTTAGGCTTAGGCTTAGGCTTAGGCTTAGGCTTAGGCTTAGGCTTAGGCTTAGGCTTAGGCTTAGGCTTAGGCTTAGGCTTAGGCTTAGGCTTAGGCTTAGGCTTAGGCTTAGGCTTAGGCTTAGGCTTAGGCTTAGGCTTAGGCTTAGGCTTAGGCTTAGGCTTAGGCTTAGGCTTAGGCTTAGGCTTAGGCTTAGGCTTAGGCTTAGGCTTAGGCTTAGGCTTAGGCTTAGGCTTAGGCTTAGGCTTAGGCTTAGGCTTAGGCTTAGGCTTAGGCTTAGGCTTAGGCTTAGGCTTAGGCTTAGGCTTAGGCTTAGGCTTAGGCTTAGGCTTAGGCTTAGGCTTAGGCTTAGGCTTAGGCTTAGGCTTAGGCTTAGGCTTAGGCTTAGGCTTAGGCTTAGGCTTAGGCTTAGGCTTAGGCTTAGGCTTAGGCTTAGGCTTAGGCTTAGGCTTAGGCTTAGGCTTAGGCTTAGGCTTAGGCTTAGGCTTAGGCTTAGGCTTAGGCTTAGGCTTAGGCTTAGGCTTAGGCTTAGGCTTAGGCTTAGGCTTAGGCTTAGGCTTAGGCTTAGGCTTAGGCTTAGGCTTAGGCTTAGGCTTAGGCTTAGGCTTAGGCTTAGGCTTAGGCTTAGGCTTAGGCTTAGGCTTAGGCTTAGGCTTAGGCTTAGGCTTAGGCTTAGGCTTAGGCTTAGGCTTAGGCTTAGGCTTAGGCTTAGGCTTAGGCTTAGGCTTAGGCTTAGGCTTAGGCTTAGGCTTAGGCTTAGGCTTAGGCTTAGGCTTAGGCTTAGGCTTAGGCTTAGGCTTAGGCTTAGGCTTAGGCTTAGGCTTAGGCTTAGGCTTAGGCTTAGGCAGGCTTAGGCTTAGGCTTAGGCTTAGGCTTAGGCTTAGGCTTAGGCTTAGGCTTAGGCTTAGGCTTAGGCTTAGGCTTAGGCTTAGGCTTAGGCTTAGGCTTAGGCTTAGGCTTAGGCTTAGGCTTAGGCTTAGGCTTAGGCTTAGGCTTAGGCTTAGGCTTAGGCTTAGGCTTAGGCTTAGGCTTAGGCTTAGGCTTAGGCTTAGGCTTAGGCTTAGGCTTAGGCTTAGGCTTAGGCTTAGGCTTAGGCTTAGGCTTAGGCTTAGGCTTAGGCTTAGGCTTAGGCTTAGGCTTAGGCTTAGGCTTAGGCTTAGGCTTAGGCTTAGGCTTAGGCTTAGGCTTAGGCTTAGGCTTAGGCTTAGGCTTAGGCTTAGGCTTAGGCTTAGGCTTAGGCTTAGGCTTAGGCTTAGGCTTAGGCTTAAGGCTTAGGCTTAGGCTTAGGCTTAGGCTTAGGCTTAGGCTTAGGCTTAGGCTTAGGCTTAGGCTTAGGCTTAGGCTTAGGCTTAGGCTTAGGCTTAGGCTTAGGCTTAGGCTTAGGCTTAGGCTTAGGCTTAGGCTTAGGCTTAGGCTTAGGCTTAGGCTTAGGCTTAGGCTTAGGCTTAGGCTTAGGCTTAGGCTAGGCTTAGGCTTAGGCTTAGGCTTAGGCTTAGGCTTAGGCTTAGGCTTAGGCTTAGGCTTAGGCTTAGGCTTAGGCTTAGGCTTAGGCTTAGGCTTAGGCTTAGGCTTAGGCTTAGGCTTAGGCTTAGGCTTAGGCTTAGGCTTAGGCTTAGGCTTAGGCTTAGGCTTAGGCTTAGGCTTAGGCTTAGGCTTAGGCTTAGGCTTAGGCTTAGGCTTAGGCTTAGGCTTAGGCTTAGGCTTAGGCTTAGGCTTAGGCTTAGGCTTAGGCTTAGGCTTAGGCTTAGGCTTAGGCTTAGGCTTAGGCTTAGGCTTAGCTTAGGCTTAGGCTTAGGCTTAGGCTTAGGCTTAGGCTTAGGCTTAGGCTTAGGCTTAGGCTTAGGCTTAGGCTTAGGCTTAGGCTTAGGCTTAGGCTTAGGCTTAGGCTTAGGCTTAGGCTTAGGCTTAGGCTTAGGCTTAGGCTTAGGCTTAGGCTTAGGCTTAGGCTTAGGCTTAGGCTTAGGCTTAGGCTTGAGGCTTAGGCTTAGGCTTAGGCTTAGGCTTAGGCTTAGGCTTAGGCTTAGGCTTAGGCTTAGGCTTAGGCTTAGGCTTAGGCTTAGGCTTAGGCTTAGGCTTAGGCTTAGGCTTAGGCTTAGGCTTAGGCTTAGGCTTAGGCTTAGGCTTAGGCTTAGGCTTAGGCTTAGGCTTAGGCTTAGGCTTAGGCTTAGGCTTAGGCTTAGGCTTAGGCTTAGGCTTAGGCTTAGGCTTAGGCTTAGGCTTAGGCTTAGGCTTAGGCTTAGGCTTAGGCTTAGGCTTAGGCTTAGGCTTAGGCTTAGGCTTAGGCTTAGGCTTAGGCTTAGGCTTAGGCTTAGGCTTAGGCTTAGGCTTAGGCTTAGGCTTAGGCTTAGGCTTAGGCTTAGGCTTAGGCTTAGGCTTAGGCTTAGGCTTAGGCTTAGGCTTAGGCTTAGGCTTAGGCTTAGGCTTAGGCTTAGGCTTAGGCTTAGGCTTAGGCTTAGGCTTAGGCTTAGGCTTAGGCTTAGGCTTAGGCTTAGGCTTAGGCTTAGGCTTAGGCTTAGGCTTAGGCTTAGGCTTAGGCTTAGGCTTAGGCTTAGGCTTAGGCTTAGGCTTAGGCTTAGGCTTAGGCTTAGGCTTAGGCTTAGGCTTAGGCTTAGGCTTAGGCTTAGGCTTAGGCTTAGGCTTAGGCTTAGGCTTAGGCTTAGGCTTAGGCTTAGGCTTAGGCTTAGGCTTAGGCTTAGGCTTAGGCTTAGGCTTAGGCTTAGGCTTAGGCTTAGGCTTAGGCTTAGGCTTAGGCTTAGGCTTAGGCTTAGGCTTAGGCTTAGGCTTAGGCTTAGGCTTAGGCTTAGGCTTAGGCTTAGGCTTAGGCTTAGGCTTAGGCTTAGGCTTAGGCTTAGGCTTAGGCTTAGGCTTAGGCTTAGGCTTAGGCTTAGGCTTAGGCTTAGGCTTAGGCTTAGGCTTAGGCTTAGGCTTAGGCTTAGGCTTAGGCTTAGGCTTAGGCTTAGGCTTAGGCTTAGGCTTAGGCTTAGGCTTAGGCTTAGGCTTAGGCTTAGGCTTAGGCTTAGGCTTAGGCTTAGGCTTAGGCTTAGGCTTAGGCTTAGGCTTAGGCTTAGGCTTAGGCTTAGGCTTAGGCTTAGGCTTAGGCTTAGGCTTAGGCTTAGGCTTAGGCTTAGGCTTAGGCTTAGGCTTAGGCTTAGGCTTAGGCTTAGGCTTAGGCTTAGGCTTAGGCTTAGGCTTAGGCTTAGGCTTAGGCTTAGGCTTAGGCTTAGGCTTAGGCTTAGGCTTAGGCTTAGGCTTAGGCTTAGGCTTAGGCTTAGGCTTAGGCTTAGGCTTAGGCTTAGGCTTAGGCTTAGGCTTAGGCTTAGGCTTAGGCTTAGGCTTAGGCTTAGGCTTAGGCTTAGGCTTAGGCTTAGGCTTAGGCTTAGGCTTAGGCTTAGGCTTAGGCTTAGGCTTAGGCTTAGGCTTAGGCTTAGGCTTAGGCTTAGGCTTAGGCTTAGGCTTAGGCTTAGGCTTAGGCTTAGGCTTAGGCTTAGGCTTAGGCTTAGGCTTAGGCTTAGGCTTAGGCTTAGGCTTAGGCTTAGGCTTAGGCTTAGGCTTAGGCTTAGGCTTAGGCTTAGGCTTAGGCTTAGGCTTAGGCTTAGGCTTAGGCTTAGGCTTAGGCTTAGGCTTAGGCTTAGGCTTAGGCTTAGGCTTAGGCTTAGGCTTAGGCTTAGGCTTAGGCTTAGGCTTAGGCTTAGGCTTAGGCTTAGGCTTAGGCTTAGGCTTAGGCTTAGGCTTAGGCTTAGGCTTAGGCTTAGGCTTAGGCTTAGGCTTAGGCTTAGGCTTAGGCTTAGGCTTAGGCTTAGGCTTAGGCTTAGGCTTAGGCTTAGGCTTAGGCTTAGGCTTAGGCTTAGGCTTAGGCTTAGGCTTAGGCTTAGGCTTAGGCTTAGGCTTAGGCTTAGGCTTAGGCTTAGGCTTAGGCTTAGGCTTAGGCTTAGGCTTAGGCTTAGGCTTAGGCTTAGGCTTAGGCTTAGGCTTAGGCTTAGGCTTAGGCTTAGGCTTAGGCTTAGGCTTAGGCTTAGGCTTAGGCTTAGGCTTAGGCTTAGGCTTAGGCTTAGGCTTAGGCTTAGGCTTAGGCTTAGGCTTAGGCTTAGGCTTAGGCTTAGGCTTAGGCTTAGGCTTAGGCTTAGGCTTAGGCTTAGGCTTAGGCTTAGGCTTAGGCTTAGGCTTAGGCTTAGGCTTAGGCTTAGGGCTTAGGCTTAGGCTTAGGCTTAGGCTTAGGCTTAGGCTTAGGCTTAGGCTTAGGCTTAGGCTTAGGCTTAGGCTTAGGCTTAGGCTTAGGCTTAGGCTTAGGCTTAGGCTTAGGCTTAGGCTTAGGCTTAGGCTTAGGCTTAGGCTTAGGCTTAGGCTTAGGCTTAGGCTTAGGCTTAGGCTTAGGCTTAGGCTTAGGCTTAGGCTTAGGCTTAGGCTTAGGCTTAGGCTTAGGCTTAGGCTTAGGCTTAGGCTTAGGCTTAGGCTTAGGCTTAGGCTTAGGCTTAGGCTTAGGCTTAGGCTTAGGCTTAGGCTTAGGCTTAGGCTTAGGCTTAGGCTTAGGCTTAGGCTTAGGCTTAGGCTTAGGCTTAGGCTTAGGCTTAGGCTTATGCTTGGGCTTAGGCTTAGGCTTAGGCTTAGGCTTAGGCTTAGGCTTAGGCTTAGGCTTAGGCTTAGGCTTAGGCTTAGGCTTAGGCTTAGGCTTAGGCTTAGGCAGGCTTAGGCTTAGGCTTAGGCTTAGGCTTAGGCTTAGGCTTAGGCTTAGGCTTAGGCTTAGGCTTAGGCTTAGGCTTAGGCTTAGGCTTAGGCTTAGGCTTAGGCTTAGGCTTAGGCTTAGGCTTAGGCTTTGCAGGCTTAGGCTTAGGCTTAGGCTTAGGCTTAGGCTTAGGCTTAGGCTTAGGCTTAGGCTTAGGCTTAGGCTTAGGCTTAGGCTTAGGCTTAGGCTTAGGCTTAGGCTTAGGCTTAGGCTTAGGCTTAGGCTTAGGCTTAGGCTTAGGCTTAGGCTTAGGCTTAGGCTTAGGCTTAGGCTTAGGCTTAGGCTTAGGCTTAGGCTTAGGCTTAGGCTTAGGCTTAGGCTTAGGCTTAGGCTTAGGCTTAGGCTTAGGCTTAGGCTTAGGCTTAGGCTTAGGCTTAGGCTTAGGCTTAGGCTTAGGCTTAGGCTTAGGCTTAGGCTTAGGCTTAGGCTTAGGCTTAGGCTTAGGCTTAGGCTTAGGCTTAGGCTTAGGCTTAGGCTTAGGCTTAGGCTTAGGCTTAGGCTTAGGCTTAGGCTTAGGCTTAGGCTTAGGCTTAGGCTTAGGCTTAGGCTTAGGCTTAGGCTTAGGCTTAGGCTTAGGCTTAGGCTTAGGCTTAGGCTTAGGCTTAGGCTTAGGCTTAGGCTTAGGCTTAGGCTTAGGCTTAGGCTTAGGCTTAGGCTT